TTCAGCTCGCGAGGGAATCGGGAGCCGGAGCCGCTGTTGGGCCGCCGAGGGGAGACGGGATTTCTCGTTACACTCTGCAATCTCCGCTGCCCGAAAACGCGAGGAGCCACAGACGGTCCCAAGCGGTGTTCGCCTCGCTCGGGAGGTTCGAGGTTTTGTGTCTGCGAGCAGGAAGCGGGGAGAGGCCTAACCCTGCGGCGGGGGGGGGGGGTCGGCCGCGGTGATGTTTGGAAATAAAGGCTTCCTTCCCCCCTCCCTCACCCCTATCACCCACCCTCGTCTAGGGGTTTGCTCGTAGTACGTTTTCTAAACTTTAAAGAGGCTGCTTATTAAACAGGCAGTGCTCTGATTTCTCCTCCTGAGATAAGCATGCGGTGTTTGAAAGGGACTCTAAACATTTTTAAGTAACTTTTTTTTTAAATTCAGGTTGTCTAAATAAGGTAGAATCTCGTTCTTAATATGAAGAAAAGCAGAGGCCGGACAGGTCGAAAGCGAAGAAGAAAACACTTGCAGAGTTTTATGGATGGAGGTACTATCCCTGGAAGTACTGCTAAATAAAAAAAATAACGAATTGTTTGTCAGGGTGTCATTTTATGGTGTATATTTTTCAAGCACCTTTGTGCTTTGAAAATAACATTCATGACTGTTAGTTTTTTCTGTGCAAATATTCTAGCATTAGTTTACAGTCCCAGGCAGAGCACGGTGAATATTGTGAGCTCTCTTTTCTGGCTGATGGCAAGTACTACATTATTAAATTCTTGACCCTTGAATATGCTGAATAACTCGTGCAGCTCTTGAGAGCACCCAGTGCCCAGGTGCCCAGAAGTTAGTAAGCTAGTTTGAGGGGAGCCTTTCTTGCTATTCTATTATGCTATACTAAAGTGTCCAAAATACAGGTTTTCTAACTATACAGTAAAATTTTTCAGTTTCCTTTGTTTTCAAAGAGTGCTATTTTATAGCATTAATCCCCTCTCTTTTTATTTTTAGTCAACTGCAGTCACAAGCTGGAATACATTAAACTTAAGAAGTGGCTGAAAGACAGAGGATTTGAAGACAGTAATTTAAGGCCAGCAGAGTTCTGGGGTAATGTTTTAATTGTTTATTGGTGGTACAAATTTCTGCTGCTTCTAAGAATTTTAGATTCCTGCATTCATTTTGAGTCACACACCTGGTTGGCATCAGTAAAAAAGCCAGTTACTGTTAGTCTTTTAAGGACTTCTGGCAAATGCATGTGAATGTTGTTTAACATGAACAAGTAGGTGTGAAGGCCTGAAGTAGTGTAAACTGTTTCTTGTATAAAGATGATCTGTAAAACTCTTCTACGAGAATACTCTGGTATGGTGCAAAACATGCACACCTATGCTGAATTCCATGTAGAAATTGATATTTTAAGCCTTAGTTTTAAAGAAGAAAGTAATATCTCTTTAAGTGTTTCTAGTATCGGAACCAAATCTTATTATCATTTCTTCATCTTTTTTTCCCTGTGCAAGCTCAGCAGATCTAGTGATACAGATAAGTAAATTGTTTTAGAGCTGTGATTCCCTTAGTACTGTTTACACTAAAGGTATATACTTGTAATTTTACTCTTTAAGTAGATTATGTGTCAAAAACTTTTGCAATATTAAAGAGAGAGTAGAGTGAATAGTATGAATCGGAAAAGAATATTGTGAATAGAAATTGTGAAGTTTAGTTAAAACTTTGAAACCACGAACAGCAGCCAGTGATGAAAGATGTGTTTAAAGAAAAAGTTGTGAAAAAGAAGTTGAGTAATTGCTAGAACTGGACAGCAAGTGTTGCAGGGGATGCAGGGGAAGGGCCTTCACAGGATCTTGAAAGTAGAAAGAGAATTGGGGAAGAAAGAAATTAGGTATATATCTGTAACAATCCATAATTAGCTTTTATGATTTGTAAGAGATAATATATGTTCTTTTAGAGCTTTTCCTTGGTGGCCTGTTAATTTATTGCAGCTTATCATAGTCTCCTGTATTTTACATATATACATGTATTTAAGCATCCTCTTTGTTCCTGCTTCAGATACAGGTAGAGGACTGATGACAACAAAAGCTCTTCAGGTTAGTAATGTTGGTTCTAATGCAAAAGCTCCTCAGTTTGGGTTTTTTTGAGATGTAACGACTTTTGCAACAAGCAAAGCTCAAAATTCTAGACCAGGTCTTCACAGTCCCTGTTGTGAAGGTGATTTCTGGCCTAATACCAGAATTTGCAGTGTTAGCGTATCTGTAAGATGATGTACTCTGAGGACTTCTTGTATGAAGACGTTCCTGTACTCATTTACAGTAGATTTAGTATGTAGTCTTGGGTTTCAGTTTAAGGCAATCATACTGAAAGCAGAAGGAGCAGGCCCCTTCCCTCTTCTATGCCTTCTCCCTTAGCCACTGGCTCCCACAGCTTCCTTTGACTGGCTGTAGCAGTCTTCCCCACTCGTGTGGTAAGTTGCATCAGGAAGCTAAACTAACAGAAAACTCTCTCTTCAAAAAAATTAACTAGCTTTGATAGCTTTGCTTCTTGAAATCTTCCACCTTGGTCAGACCAGTGCTGGTATAAAGGGAGGAATGGCGTATCAGGGAGGGGAGTGGAGGAAAGGGATGGTGCTTTAAGCAACATTTGACTTTAGATTATCTTAGCCATAATGTGAAAACACAGCTTTAACCTCACTTTGATGGCCCTCCTCTTTGTTGACAGACCAGCTAATAGAAACATAATTTCTTAGATATCCTCAGCAGAAAAGGGGACTGATAGAAGAAATACCTTGCCGTTCAGATATTGGCGCAGAAAGACTGAACTCTGACTGAAAAGTGCCTCTCAGAAAATAAGCGTGTTGGAGAAGTTTCCTAACTGGTGTGAGAATAGTGTATCAAATAATGGCGAATCAGACCAAGAACCTTTGGCAAAATAGAGAGTATTGAAAGAGGTAGGAAGGAGCTGCGATGGAGAAGTTACGTGTAGAGAACAGTGTATGATGTCCTCTGAGGACTTCTTGTATGAAGACATTCCTGTACTAAGAATTCCTGAACTCGTGCTGGTTCGGGGTTAGAGCCAGCAGTTGAAGCCAGAGGCTCAGGTTATCCACAATGCTGGGAGTCTGCAGCAAATGAAATGAGATCTAGATTCAACCGGGCTTGAGCAAGATAGTGAAACTTGGGAGAGGAATGGGAAGGGGAGAGTATTGATTTGATTCATGTCCTCTCCCTACAGGCATGGACACATATGGCTCAAGCCAGGCATGAAAACTAATTTACACACACAGCAGCTTGGCAAATAAGGTCAGGGTAGACATGACCTAAAATATCCCTACCCCATACTGTTATGTTGGTAGAAGTTCAGATGTTTGTGAGATCTAGTCAAAAAATATATCTCAGTACAAAGAAAGTGAATAGCCAGGCACCAAACTTTCTGTGAACAGCTAACTTTCTGCAGGTGACAGTTCTTACTGACTGCAGTCATCCTCATTCCCTGCACTGTGACTGTCTTAAAACCATGCCAGTTTCATCAAGTTCCACATCACTTTTGTTTGCTTCCTGACATCAGTGTTCTCTGGGGAATGTCTCTCTCTTCAGACATCGTGTAGTAGATGAGTCATTTACACTTGACCTTTACTATTCCTTGTGTGTGATGGTGTGGGTTTTTTTTTTCCCCCTCTCTCAAAGGCAGGAGATCTGATTATTTCATTGCCTGATGAATGCTTACTCACCACAGACACTGTCCTTAGTAGCTGCTTGGGAGAATACATTATGAAGTAAGTGAAAAGTGACACTTTATGGGCAAGCTTGCCTTTATTGTAGGTTGCTCATTAGTAGATTAGTCATCTTAAATGGTGGCAGGGCTTTAAACTGCATGCCCTAACTTGTATGAGTTTTTCTTGTGGGCTTTCATGCATGTGGAATACTCAGAGAAGTAAGGCTTGGACACAGAGCATCTCCTTTTAGCTAGGCAGAGTTGGAGTGATGGTAGAGGCTTGAACTTGGCCTGACCCTAGAGCCAGATTGGACCTAAATGCTAGTTATGAATGGTTTCTTGGGAACTTGTGAATATGCTTCAATAGGAGAAAGAGGATAAAATGGGGTTGCAAAGCAGTCACGTGAGCTTTTAGAAAATTCAGAGCGAAGACCTATGCTGGACATTGAGTACTTGTTACGTATCCTAACTGCACCACCCCCTGCCCCAAACTCAACCCAAGAGGTGAGCCTGAAGTTGTTACTACAAACCAGCTTTTATAGCCCCTTTGAAATCATCAAAAGGACTTGGAGATGAACTACAAAGGAGTTTAAAATAGAAGCTATTTATAACATTTAAAAGAAGTAGAAGATAGATAAAATACCCCTGCATCCATTTCCTGTCTCACCTCTGTGTATCTGCTATATTGGTATTTTTATTTTATTTTCTAATAGATGGAAGCCTCCTGTATCTCCTTTGATAGCACTGTGCACATTTTTAATAGCAGAGAAGCATGCTGGTGAGAAATCTCTGTGGAAGCCATATCTTGATGTTTTACCCAAGACATACACTTGTCCTGTTTGTTTGGAGCATGATGTAGTAAGCCTTCTTCCTGAACCATTAAGAAAGAAGGCTCAGGAGCAGAGACGGACAGTCCATGAGTTGTACATGTCTTCCAAGGCTTTTTTCTCTTCACTGCAACCTTTGTTTGCTGAGAACACAGGAACTATTTTTAACTACAGTGCTCTAGAGTGGGCTTGGTGCACTATTAATACCAGGACAATATACATGAAACAATCACAGAAGGAATGTTTTTCTCTTGAGCCAGATGTTTATGCATTGGCACCATATTTAGATTTGCTAAACCACAGTCCAAATGTTCAGGTAAGAAACTAAAAATAGATAACTTAATTTCTTTATTTGTGAACGCACTATCTCAATACAGTATGCATTTATGTGATGGATTAGGAGCATCTGGAGGTCAGTGAGAGATCTCATAGTTGGGAAATTGTCCATTGAGGACATGCGCAGGCTGAGTATTCATGGTTCGTATATACCCTAGAGCTTGTTATTCAACCCGAGGCAGTTGAATAAAGATGATTCAAGTGTTCCAGTTTGTGTAGCAAAGGAAAGGTACAGGGAGAGCCCACAATGTCTGGGTGAGATTTGTGTCTGGGGTACGCACTGGGAAGAGCTGATTGTAAATATAACCCTACTCTGCGCTCCTGAAAGGCTCAGCTCCTGAGACAAATCTCGAGTTACATAGTCCCTGTATTACTTCACCTCTGGCTGAAGCTTCTGGGCAGCCTTAGAAAAGTGTGTGGAACAGTTTCACCTTATGTCAGGGACTATGTGCCAACACAGAGCTGGGATAGCACAGAAGTGGCCAACTCTACATGAAGCCATCTTTATTTGCAGATTTGGGACCTCTGTAATAAGTCTACACAGTGGGTGGCACATCCTGCAGACTAAGGTTTTGATGTTTGTTCTTCTTTGTACTAGTATTTATAGAGTAATCCTGGTCTGGAATTGTCCAAATGGGTTGCCTTTTCAGACATCTGTAAGACTATCTGTTTTGTTGCAGTGATGTTCAATATTTGTGGGTTTTAATATTCAAGGTCTGATTCCTTTTTCACCCTGTCTTCCTGCCAAGAGTAAAACCTTTCATTTTTATCTTCTCAAAGGTAAAGGCTGCATTTAATGAGCAGACAAGAAGCTATGAAATTTGGACAAATTCACAGTGCAAAAAATACGAAGAAGTATTTATCTGCTATGGGCCTCATGATAATCAGCGACTGCTACTAGAATATGGATTTGTTGCCATTGATAACCCTCACAGCAGTGTTTATGTCTCATCAGGTTGGATTTATAGATTGTCTTGACGTTGAAAGGTACAATAGTAGAGAGCAGAGCATCTGAGCATGTTAATACTGCCTGTCTTCAACAGGGGATGTGGGTAAAAAGGGATAACTAAAGGATAATGTGAAGTTCACGCACTTGCATATACGCACGGCACACAATATGCACAATGCTTATTAAAGCATTATGATTCTTTTCTTAGTGCCATCAAAATATTTGGATGTATTTCCAAGAAGTGGAATAGAGTTTGATACCACTTTGAACTCCACAGAATTTAAGGATTGAAGTTTTAAAATTGACAGTGTTCTTTGGTAATGTTTCCTTTTGTGAATTGCAGTTCTCACCAGTATGTATGTAGAGCTTCTAGCTGGATGTCTTAGATTGTACCATTGACTTCAGGATTTAAATCCTGATCCCCACAAACTGAAGTTGCTGAGAGTTGTTTGTAACTTCAGTTTGAGTCAGGATTTCCACTATAAGGATACAATCCTGGAGATTGAGCTTTTGAGAAGTATGTTTTTGATTATATTAAAGTTCACCAAAATGTAGAAGATTTTGATCTTTGTTCTGTAGCTACTTTCAAGCAAAAATATGGTTGAAGTGTCATTTCAGAATCAAGGATTGTGGTTTCTTCTACATACCACTTATTTAAATATCTAAAATGTGTTTTTATGCAGATACTCTCCTCAGATATTTTCCACCATGGGACAAGCAGAGAAATGCAAAACTTTCCATTCTAAAGGATCATGATTTCTTAGAGTAGGTATTGGGAGTTTTTTGTTTCCCTGTGATTTTTCTTTTCAGTTTTTCTGGGAGTCAAGTTTTTCTTCTAGTATCAAAATCCAGCATAAAATAATAATTTGCCTGTTAACAAACTGATTTGCTTGCTGTTTGTGAGAGAATGTAGAAGTGGTGAACACCAATATCAAAGCTTGAGATAGATTTCAAGGTCCAGGCTGTCTCTTAGCTGTGGATAGCAGCGGAGGAAGGGGAAACAAGGAGTCCTCTATTTCCAAAGATGAGATCTCCCCTTGTTGACACTTACCAGGAAGAAAGCTATCGTGCTGTAAAAGATCACCTATACTGTCTGCATCTCATTACTTCTGACTCTTTAGGAACCTGACCTTTGGATGGGATGGACCATCTTGGAGACTCCTCACAGCCCTCAAGTTGTTAAGTCTTGGAGCAGATGAATTGTAAGTTTCAGTACTTTTTGAATATTTAGACAATGTGCATGTGCCATCTTCCTTTATTTGCTTTTTGCTGGCTGTGTGTGAGATACTGGGACAGTTGTTTTGGATCTCCTGTGTCTTTCTCGTTGAGTCCAACTGAGAACTGGAAGAACAAAGGCAGAGAACACTATGTAATGTAAAGTAATTGCATATTTGCTGCTTTGGTCTTTTGCTTTCTTGTATTAAACAGTAGACACGCCCCATTGTTTTCCTTTTCTATTTTGAGAACCAGATATTCCTTTAAGGAGTATCTTTTTCCTGTTGGTTTGATGAGACTTTTGAGTGCTATTGGCCTTGCTTGATTTCTTTAAAACATGTGTTCCACAGTCTGCTTTTGAAATCCTAGGGCCAAATAAGTCACTGAAATTCATCTCCAGTGACTTGTCAGTGCAGTTTTGATCATGTGTTCCAAATGGCAAATTTTCCTCAAACAGCATTAATAGAAAATGGTTACCTGGGCTTTGTTTGTAATAGTAAATAAAAAACCCCAGCTTGTTCAAAGCAGTTTATGCTTTGAAGATTCGTTGCTGAGTGCACTAAGTTGATTAGGGGAACTAAAAATAAATCTCTGTGGTACTGGTTTCAAGCCTGTGAAATGCATCAGTATGTGCGGTGAAGTTTAGCAGAAGCCATGCTAGTAAGTTCTGGGTGGATAGCTTTAGTCCTCACTGGTGCTGCTGAAGTTGGTGGCAGCATGGCAGAGCAGTGAAGACCAGAAGCATTGGTCTAAGTGCAGACTGTTCTTTGGTTGAAAAGGTAGGGGTGGAGGATTGGAAGTGCTGCTCCAGACCATTAAACCTCTCTTCTCTTTTGCTTGCCTTATCAGTCTCATATTTGAATGCTGTGTGCCTTTTTCATGTATGCTGACACTACTTGCCTTATGCCAGCGACGTTATTCTTAGCATAACCATATGTTTATCATTCAGTTGGGGAATACAGCAAATGATTGTGTGTTGTTCAAACATTTTTGTTCTAGTACTTGCTGGAGGAGAACACTGCTTGGTGATGTAATTTCATCCAGAAACGAACAGCTGACTTTGAATATAACAGCAAAAATATGCCATTTTTTAATAGAGGAGACACAGCATGTTCTTCTCCAGGTAATTTGGCTGAAAGAAGAAGGTAGCCCAGATTCCTTTCTCTCCTAGCATAAATGTACAGCAATGTAATTTTTTGGGATGAGAACAGAGTGAGGGAGGGAATTGACTGTGCTGGGGTGGTATAGGATTTGTTTCCAGGGTGACTGACAGCACGGAATTGCTCAGCAAAATTTGTGACTGCAGCAAAGAAAGGAACCGTGTTACAAAACTTATACAAAGCTGTATAAACAACTGAAAAGTGTTTAACCTTTCTCTGCCTACAGTATCAAATGTGTTTGTTGAGGTTACTTCTTAAAAGAAAATGCAGGCTTGTATCAGGTGGGCACATACGATGTTGCAGACCTGCCATGAGTGGCTTTTTGGCGAAGGGGGTATCGGGTGGCCACATCCGATGTTGCAGCCCTGCCATGAGTGGCTTGTGGCAGAAGGTGAAGGCTGTGTTCATTAAAGCCAGTCAAGCCAAATGAATTACCCGTGTCAGCCAGTTTCCACATGTGAGGGATGTCTGTGCTCTTAGAAAAACAATCTCTCCTTCCTTTCTGCATTTTGGCAAACAACATGTGTACTTAATGTCAAGTTGCATAGCTGTCATGGAAAAGGGTTATTAAAACCACACTTTTGTAAAAGAAACATGTATATGCATAGAGTTTGAGGTGAATCTGGTCTTGAGCAACGTCTTGAGGATAGTATGGACTTAGGAGCCTGATACCAGGTAAACATTTCCCTTCCCTTCCTCTCCTTGTTTTCAATCTGCTTCCTCTCCATGTGATGATTTTTTTTCTTTTTTCTTCCCTTTTCCTCCTCTTACCCCCCACCTCCTTTTTTTTTAATGTTATCGTTTCTCTTGTGGAAGATTAAAAAATACTATTTTGACATAGTTCACAGAATCCTTAGCACAGATGAGCTTTCCACAAATGTTCATGTCCTATATTAAATAATCTAAATTTTTAGTAATTTCATCCCATTTGTATAAACTTCAGATTTCCCAGTTGAAAAGGAACAAAGAGAACCTCAAAAAACATCTGGCTTTGGTAGAAGCACTACGCTTGGAAGATCTGAAGATACTGCAAAAATCAGCTGAGATTCTTTGTAACCTGAATATGGCAACAGCTTGACCCATCTGGAGCTGTGATAACTGTGGCTGATTGGATCTCTTTTGCCATGGATGTGCCTGGCTCAACTACTTTAATGGACGTGAGCAGCAAAGAATAATGCAAAAAGTCATCAGAATATGGCTAGTTTCGTTCACAGGATCACACAGGACCCACAATCTTACTTAGTTCTTTGCTGACCTCCTTCAGTAATACGAAAGGTTAGCCCAAATGGTAGGGGGGAAGCACAGGCGGCTTTCACCATGTCTCATCTAAATCTCAACTGCTGTGAGTGAAGCAGCTTCTGGGATAATTTGAGCAGTCCCAGGACTGTGGGCTCCAGCAGTCCTAGACTTTACAGCTGCTTGTGTGGCTAAAGCATGGATCACAGGGTCAAGCAGATACTCCTCGGCATGTGTTTGAGCTCTGGCACTTGACAGAGAGGAAGAGGACCGAGACACTTACATTTGCCCTGTACTGATCCTTCACTTTTTCCCTGAAATCTGTACATGTCCCCAAGACTTAGCAGTTGATGTAGTGCCTGTTTGTTGCTGGAGTAATAGATGTGGAGTAGAGCACGGATCAGTCCTATTGTGACCAAGTCCGAATCATTCCCTTCACAGTTTCATCCCAAGCGTTTCTTGAATGTAAGGAACTTTGAATTTCCTTCCTTAACTCTCAAAGCTCCCTCCAGACTCACTGATTTGTGTTCTGTCTCCTCCTGCTGGGAATGAGAACTGAGAGGATGTATCACTTTGAACTCTGTTTGTTGTTTGGAAGACAACCCAGGCAATTCATTCTGTTTCCATTCCGTTCTGCTGATCACATTGAGAAATGTTCCTGTCCTGTCTACAAGGGGATAGTCTCATGAGCTGCCTTTCAGTGTTATTTCTACCTAAGTAGGGAGCTTGAGCCCCCTATGTAGTTTAGAGGAGGGACTTCTCCAAAGGGCATTTCGGGGCAGCACCCTTATTTAAGCTGCATAAACGTCATTTATAATTGTGGTTTTTTTGTGATTATTTTCCATTTTATGGGGAATCGCATTTCATAGAATTGTTCATTACTACTTTTATCATTTTAGAACTGTGTTTTTAAGAGTGTTTATTTTTGTAAATATATTGATATATTGGTTTATTTTCTACAAGACCTCTATTTTTGAAATAAATGAAACTGCGTACAGCAGTAAAAGCATTCTAGCTAATGATAGAATTTAAATTAAAAAATGCAACAGGTGAAAACTGTTAAGTATTCGAGCTCAAATGCACTTTCAGACTTTCTTTGGTACCTTGTGAACAAGAATGTTATTGTGTAAACTTGCTTGGATTTGAGGATTCCAGGGGTTTTCCCTGCTTTTTTTTTTTTTTCCTGCATCAGTCTATTTGTGACAGGAAATGGAGCTCTGAGAAGGGCCATTCCTTCTAGAAGGAAATGTTGGTTTAGGTTCAAAAGACCGGGAGAACTGAGAATTGTAACTGTTTGCTGTTACTCAGTTTCCAAAACCAAAAGTTCTTGGGTTTGAGGTGCCATCTTCATAACCTCTTCCTAGGATTAGGAAATTGTGCAAATAAGCTTATTTACTCTCATGCACTGAGACTCTTGTACTTTCAGGCTTTCTGTATTGTTCATATGGAGATGCGGACAGTGTGTTGTTACTTTACATTTCACAGCAGAGGGCAGGGTAAATGGGTTGGGAGAGGAACTGAAGTGCTTTCGGGAGCTAGAAGTGCATTTATTACATCCTTTGGGCGAACTTAATTTCATATTTCCCTAAACTGTGGTTTTAACCCCTGCACGGCACTTGGCATCATATTTTATACTCTGGTCAGCCTGATTCTGAAGTGTCTCCTAGGATGCGATGACTGTCTGGATTTGGGAATGCAATGTCTACTAATCTCACTGAGGGCAATTCCCATCAGCCTGTGTAAGGGTCCTTCCGTACCACTGAGCCTGGCTACAGCAGAGATAGTGGGGATGAGACCCTGACCCTGTGACTGTTGCCCATTCATTTTGATAAGGTCTGCAAAAAGGTCTACAGAAGTCATGGATGACACGAAGAGGGTGGATGGTGACTGAGCATGTGCAGTGCAAGAAGCTAGGGCTTTCAAAGGAAGCTTGAAGAAGTCAGATTCAAAACAGTGGGATAACAAATCTGCTGAGGTTAATAAGGAATATGGATATGAAAGTTGACAAGTTGAAAGCACAGCACGTATACATGGAAGACAGTTACCAGCCAGCCAAACAATTTTGGTGTTAGGTAGTCCCCTGATGGCAGAATACTTGAAGGTTGGGAGATGATTGATGGTAAGTATTGTATGTGCTTGACCTGTGCTTGCTCTTTTAAGGTGGTGGTGGACACTGTGGGAAACAGGGTACTGGGCTAGAAGAAACCTTTCTTTGAACATGTCCTGCAGTTTTGATGATTACAGTTGAACTGCTTGACCTCTTTCTTTTAATAAAAACTTTTTCATTTTCTAAGAACAGATGTGTTTCTCATTTTATAATTTTATAACAAGATGGTACCATAGTTAAAGAAGATAGGGATGTTTTTTTTTTTTTTTTTTTTTTCCCCCTGGGAGATTGCTATTTTAAGAACAACTTCTGTATGATGTCTTGCAAGATGGATACTAGTTTGGCAGAAGTTTATTTGCTTCAGTATTGCGCTACAGACTACACATTTATACCAGGTGGTTTGAATATGGGCTCTACTTCTGTAACTTCTGCCTCCGTGGAGGGGGTATAGGAAGGGGATCTGGCAGTGCAGGAGAGCAGGCAGTCTGAATCGCTTGTCTGTCTCTTGCATGTAGGCGTAGCAGTAAGCCCCCAGCTTCACCTTTGAGCACCGTAGCCAGTGTTCTGAATAGAGCTGTGTGTGTTTAATGTCAAAGGCAAAATCCTGCCTGAATAAACTATGGAATTGGAACTAGTGCTTTTATAACACACATCAATAGCAATGGATTTTTAACAGGAGCAAACCAGCCTAACACAGGTCATGATTCAGCATTTATGTATATATATGCCTAGTCAGCAAAAGATTAAATTCTTTTTTGAATCAAATCTAAACTATGTGTAAGACAGGGCACCCTAAGCTGGGCTAAGGACTAGGGTGCCTGAAGAAGTCACTGCACTGGGATTGCTCTCCAGCTGTCTTATAGAACATGAAATCAAGTTTTCAAAGTGCGAAGATGCTTACTCTCAGCCCCTACTTTAACTACAGCCCCCTTGAGCTGCGAACAGCTTGATCACTTAGCTTTAGTCTAAGAAGGGATTTATCCATGATCTTAGTGTGGAAAGACCGCATTTCCCTCTTTGTATAAATTCCCTTTCAGATCATATCTGCAAATCTCAGCAATAGTAGCAATAAACCCCAGCTTTTTATCATTAGCAGTATAAACCCTGTATAGATCATGGCAGCGAGCTAGATTCTTCCAGCTTGTGCAGTATTACTCAAAGAGAGCTAAAGTAGGTCTGTATTCTGTGACTGCAGTGAAGACACTGGGTTTGGGTAGGTGTAATGAGGGAAGCTTTATTTCTTGTGATAACAGTGTGAGAAATAGCACAGCTTGATTTTTTTTTTTTTTCTTTTTTGAGAAGAGGGAGTTGATGTACTGCAGTCTGAAGTCACTGAAAAATGATAAACATGAAACCTCATGACAGTATCTTTCCTGTATCAATTTATGTAAATATGGCATGGATTTTCTTTGATCTTCTACAGAGAGTGGCTTCTAGTTTACAGTTTTCTTCAGCTGTAATGTGTAGAGATCATCCATCATTGCTAAGTGCCTTTAGACCTGTCTGTTCCAGGACAAGATAAGGGAGTATCAACTCTCATACCCTGATAATTAAAGCTTTTAGGTACACTATGAAAACATTTCAAAGATGACATTCCCAAAGAAAGAGCTTTTAAAAATGATGTCTCCCAGGGTATATAGCCCCTCCCCACCTAGAAGGTAAAGAATACCCTTTTAAAAATGCCACACTTCGGCATAATTTGAAGTGTTTGTTTGCCCTCAGCGCATCTGTGACTACAGAGATGAAGATAATGAACTCTAGGATGGAGAGAAATTATCCCCAAAGAAATGTGTGTGTTTCTTTACACAACAACTATGAACTAAAGATGTTAGAAGATTTAAAAATTTTCCCTCAGTTTGGACTAGCAATTGGTTTTGAACCATGTGAAATTCAGGTTTTTTATCATTTGAGCACAAAAGTGGGGAGATAACAGCTCAGTGACTGAACTCAACTAGAAGAACTTGATTTTATTCCTATTTGTAGCAAAGCTTAGGTGGCATCAGTCTGTTGCAGGTCGGAGTGAAAAGGGAAAAAAAAAACATTTACGATTCATTCTACTGAATATTTTAGTGGATATCTATAATTCCAGAATTAAGTTTTAGAAAGCACTGTAATGAGCTATATTCAGTGGAAAAGCAAAGATACTCAATGAACCCCAAACTAAACTGTGCAAAAGTAGTGTAAAACTAATGCAATCTCTGTGTTGTCCACTAGATGATGCAACTGTACTACAGAGAAATGTGAAATTACAGTATATCCACATGCAATTGTAATCCTATTTAACGTATTATGTTTTTAATAATAAAAAGTGTTGTCTTCACTGAAACACCATGGTTAGTGTTAGATAAATGGTCGAAAATGTAGTTTTCTTTCTGCTGCTTTCAACTGAAATGTAAAGCTTTGTAGTCTTTTATCTTCTCCCAAGTTTATTGTATTTTAGCTTTGTTGGAGTTGCTCCACTCTCAAGTTAAATCACATCTTTTTCCCCTGAAACTATCACCCGAGACATAACTAAAGGTTCAAATCATCTTCGTTAAGTTAACTTAACCCTATGCAATGGAGAACTGTCTGCTCATGTGTTTTTCTTCGGAGATTAGGGGCCAGATTCATCTTTTGCACAGATCTCTTTCAATAATCTTCTTTGATGTGGCTGATTGAACTCCTATTGAAACATTTCCTCTGTGTAGGGCGATTCTGTGGACTCTCCCTTGTGTCAGTTCTCCAGCGTCTAATAGTAATAAGCTGATGTTTTCCTTTCAGTGATGAAACCCTTCCCTTCACTGGGGGTTTCTTCGCTGCCCGTTTTCATGACTTGGGGCTGCTTATTACTTCTGGTGTGTGCTTGTTGCCTAGCTCACTTTCCCAGGGTCTTCTGAAACAGCCGGTGTATGTCTACTCTGCATGTTCTCAGAGCCCCTGCAGATTGTCCCAGTTGTCTG